CCAGAAGAGAGCCACAAAGATGATCAGAGGGGTGGAAGGGAGGCTGAGAGAGTTGGGCTTGTTCAGCATGGAGAAGAGAAGGCTCTGGGGAGACCTTAGAGCAGCTTTCCAGTACCTAAGGGGGGCCTACAAGAAATCGGGAAAGGGACTTTTTAGAAGGGCTTGTGCAGATACGTCTTTAAACTTCAAAGAGCATATTTAGACTAGATGTTAGGAAGAAATTCTTCCCTGTGAGGGTGGTGAGACCTTGGCACAGGTTGCGCAGAGAAGCTGTGGATGCCACACCCCTGGTAGTGTTCAAGGCCAGGTTGGACGGGGCTTAGAGCAACCTGGTGTAGTGGAAGGTGGGTTGGAACTAGATGATCTTTAAGGTTCCTTCCAACAGAAGCTATTCTATGGTACGGTATTTTGGAGGTTTTATAGTAGATTTGCAGTCTGTGGTACTTCTGTATTGCGTCAAATTAATCTTGAAGAAATATATGCCTTTTTTTTTTTTTTAATGCAGTCAAGTTTAATAGATTTGAAATACAAAACATCAGAATTACTGAAAAGTGAAGTTGTTTTGTACTATTTCAGTTATCTACAATTTTGTGGTTAATTTCAAATCAAGTTCACATTATTTTCTATATTGTCGATTAAATATTGGAAATTTAACTATATATACGTATTAATTGTCTTTTTTTCTGTCACAGGGTTTTTTCTCTTTTCTTAGTGCTCCGCTAATAGGTGCTCTATCAGATGTATGGGGAAGAAAATACTTTCTTCTAATTACAGTTTTCTTCACTTGTGCCCCAATTCCATTAATGAGAATAAGTCCATGGTAAGTGGTACAGACTTCTAGTAGCAAGCTTCTCAATACAGCAGAAATCCAATCAGAGAAGTTGTTTGGGGAAGTGGGAGAGGGACAATAAGACAAGAGAAAAGCCACTTTCCATTCAAAACATGGTTGTATTATTCTGTAGCTTTTCTTTTTGAGTGTTAAAAATGCGTATCTCAAAAGTAGAAATTATGAAATGCAATTTAGTTACAAGTATAACTAATTAAATGGTTTGATAGTCCTGTCTAATTCAGTTTTAAGCTCAGCTGTTAATTTTTATTTCCCTGAGGACTAAAAATGCTGTAAGAAACATATTTGTAAAACTAAATGAACCCTGGAATTTATTTACCACGGAAAAGTATAATTGCTGTAAATGAGATCCTTTAACTCTTTGATTAGGCAACTTCGAAGTCTTAACTGACAGGAATTGACTTGGCTTCAGTTTCATTTCCATTCATTGTGTAATAAAGAAGGATTACAAAAGAAGTTCGTGTACACTGAGTGCATTGAGAATTTAATTTCTGAAGCATTATATGTGATACATTATTTCTTAATTGGTTGAGAAACTGAGTTCTAAGATAATGGGTTTTTTGTAACTTAAACTTGTTCAGCTTGGAGACTGAAAATGTCTAGGCACCCTGTCCTGAAAGGGCTACTTACGTCAGGCTGCTCTAAACAGTAGAATATAGAGACTCAAAATGCTGTATTCCAGTATTTAGAGGAGACTATGTCATTCATCTCTATGTTAGTTCTTGAGGAACACTTCTCATAGCTTAAATACAAACTTGCTTGATTAGTAAAAGAGCAACTAGATGTCTTAGTGTAAACTTTCTTTTTGCTTTTAAATCATTAGGTGGTACTTCATCATGATTTCACTGTCCGGAATCTTTTCTGTTACCTTTTCTGTAATATTTGCCTATGTAGCTGATGTAACACAAGAACATGAAAGAATTACAGCCTATGGACTGGTAAGATATGCTAGACTTGAAAAAAAGGTCAGATTATGACCTTCATATTGAACTTGTGTTTTGATGCACAGATTGTTTCCTAGTTAATGTAATGCGGTTGATAGAGAAAGGAATGAATATCAAGTATCAAGGCACTGTGTTAGAGTTTGGTTAATATAAATTAGACTTTTCAGTGTCTCACAGACTGCTCTGTGCTCACAGGAATTTGACAACTTTACCTGCATGGAAGGCATGTGTAACAAAACAGGTTTAAGTTTTGTAGGCAGAACAAGAAATGTTCTTAAAGGTTATTTAGTACTTGTTATTTAATAAAAGTTATTTAATACTTGATCTAGCAATATCTTTTCATCACACACAAATTGCACTTTTAGTTTATGTGATTTCTTTTTAATACAGAATGGCTTTTTCTGTAGTCAGAATAGGCAGGAAGGGTGAAAATGCATAATATAGTGTTTTTGGTAACTTTGTCATGACCTTAATTAGCAAGAGAAGAGGAAAATAGTTAAGTTAGTACCAACTAGCCTTTTCAGTAATAAGTTAATTCTTGCTTAGATTGCTTTCATGAATACCTGTGTTGGTTTAGGTAATGGAGGCCCATTGGTAGATGCTCTTAGTCTTTATAAGTTATTTATCCCTTAATCCTTCGTGCATCTGTTTTCACTACACGGGTATTCATGGACTTGATTTTTGGCCGACTGTACTGTATTTTGAGCTGTTAAGGTTTCCGTTTCTTTTTAGCCTTAGAGACGAATGATTCCTCAGAAGTTCATTTAACAGTTGAGAAAATAAAGGACTTAGTTCTCTTGAGCCAAACTTGTGTGTATTGTTTAGCAGAGCACACAACAGGTGCAAAAGTTCTGGAATTCCCTCTTTATTCCTCCTGCCTTTAAAGAGGGCTATAAGTATATTTATATGAGCATATATTTGCCTGCCTTAAAACAGGTTTGGTTTGATTTGGGGTTTTTTTTTGGGTTTTGTTCACGGAAACACCTTCATCTGAAACTCTATAAAGTTGACACACAAAAGTCCAGTTGTTTTGATGAGGGCCGTATCTCTTTCTAATCTGTTTGTTATACCTTTTCCTAGGACTTTTTTTCTAGCATTGCATAAAGCTAAATTTCTAGCTTGCATTCTTATTCTATAAAACAGTTCCGCAGACTGTTTTTAGTTTGGGCACTGGAAAAAAGTAGTCGTTAAAAAACCCAAACAAACCAGCTTTATTGCAGCCTTTCCTGAAGGTTTTAATAGTGAAATTTAACTACAGCACTTGATTTTTCATCATGTTCCAATGTATGTTAATATAATAAGTGATCTGTAGCTGCATGTCACTATAGCATAGTATGAAGCAGTGCAGTTATTGAAGATGTAGTTAATGATTTTCTAGTTTGCTGTGCTAACTTATGGTTGCTATGTATTTAAAATGCAAACTGTTTACAAAGGCATCATGTAGGATTCTGTGTATTACCCAGAGTGTTGAGGCTCAGCTTCACTTAGGAAAGCATTTAAATGTGCTGACAATTTTTTTCAATGAAATCTCATAAATTGATAATTGAAAAAAGTAACATTTTAGTGCATTTGAAAGTAAGAGCTGTTTCCTTTGAGCCAAACTTGCTCTTTGACTGCAAATTCTGTCTCCTCTGGTGGGCTGTTGTTGTGGTTCAAGCCCAGCTGGCAACTTGGAACCACGCAGCCGCTCGCTCACTCCCCCCCCCCTCTTCCCTCCTC